CCTGCTCGATATTGCATCAAGCTCATAGTAAGCAGTTTGAATACAATAAGGGTTATTGCTGCAGATTTTGTTTGTGATGTTAGTGAACAGGATCTCAAGCCATAGCTGTGGTTAGATAGATGTTTGGGTTATGAACTCCGCAATGACGTCTTTGATTTGGGGTTTTGATATTGTCTTAAGACAATGACCTTCATCAAACACTGGAGAGCTTTTACAGTCAAATGTGAGCAGTTGGGATGAGAGGTCTGGGACCATACAGTTGAATAAAGAAAAAGTGGATTGACCCCTTACCTCAATGGTCAAATATTTGTGTCAAATACCTATAACAAAATGTACATCCTCTCAGACAAAAATTTAATACAGATAGAGAAAATACTGAAAAGTGGACCGAACATCCATGAGACTGAGTTATTTACTACTAAAGAAATACTAAAGAAAATACATGAATCATGGAAAGTGTATGTCTATATATATATATATATATATATATATATATATATATATATATATATAAGTTTAATATATAAGTATAAAGTAAAATCTTTCCCATGACTGTATGTCAGTATGTTTTATATAGTTACCAAACTTGTTAATCTTGTGTACATGTACCACTAACAGCCAATGCAAAATTGTAAGTTGGATCATCCATTGGAAAAAGAATGAAATGTTGTAATTATAAGGTTTAAAATACTACAACTTAATGTTTAAAAGATTGGACAGTTAAAAACTATATTTTCCTGAGCTTTAAGTCCTCTTTTAATACTTTTATACACATGTATATTAGTCAATAGAAATTGAAATGAAATAAATTGGAAGCGGGAGTTAGGACTACTGAAGTTTTGTGTACGTGTGGATGATCAAAGCAAATGAATGTATAAGAGAAGCAGACTGACTTGATGGCTTTTTTCATTTATTTGAGTGTGTCTGTGGGAGAGGATGAAAGTGATCAAAGCAATGTGTACAGAGGCTTCTGATAGAGCTGATACCCAAGTCTAGAGCAGCACCACTGGGGGATTTTAGTTAGATGAAGACATGACCCATGGAACTAAAGGGTCTAAAAATTAAAGGAAAAAATCAATCCAAAATATAAATCATTGTCACACACTTAGATCTGGAGAAGGGGTAAGAGAAAAAGCACTTACTACTTGTCATGCTTTTAAGATGTTTGGCTAATAAAGCTACTATGAAGCTTTAGGAAAAGATAAGAAAATATAAAGTGGCAGAAATGGAGCACAGTGATATCACTGGATGGGTATAAAAGAACTGAAACCAGAAGCGTGGAAGGATTTTTACTTGACCATACAAAGAAGTTTTAACAAGCAAGCCTGGGCTAACATAATGCAACTAATCTTAATGTGTTCACCTCACGTAGACATTGGCACATATTACAGAAAAGTCCTTTGGGCCTCACCAATGCGCTACAGTGAAAAGTGAAAATGCTTAAGGGCTCTCTGGTGTACTTTTTTAGCCTCTCATGCACAGTCTTCACAAGACCAAATTGTCTTTTCTTTAAAAAGTAACCCTCAAGGGTGTGTTTAAAGGAATGTTACCAGCTAATAACTGGTAGCATTTAAGCTTTATGATCCTGTACAAAAATATCACATCCTCACATCTCAGCTCTACAGCCAGACCCCATGACATTGGCTGCAGATTAAATCACAAAGTGTTGTCTGGTGTCTCTTAGAGAATGATCAAACTTTGAACTCATACACCCTCACATTTTCAACATGTACAGTGGCGATGATAATTAAAATCTGTTAAGGGTCACAGCTAATGACGTTGGTGGATAATGGATCTGACCTGTAGAGGATAACACCGTAGCAACCGCAACAAGACAGGATGAGTACAGGCCAGAAAGGGTGAGAAAAGGAGGAATAAAAAAAAACATGGAGAGAGTATATTGTGTGTATTGGGAGAGATGACATTGACCGATGAGCTTCTTGCAGCTGTTTTGTGCACACGCTTTCGCAGACACTTACATAAATGTCAGTGACCTTTGCCTTATTAAGAGTGTAAGTGTGCACACACCCACATGCTTTTCATCGGCAAGAGTTCTTGCTCTCTTGGGGATTGCAGAGAGGAATTGAGTCATAGTAAGGCCTGTTTCTCATAGTTCTTGCAGTTTGTGTATGTGTTTATTGGATTTATGAAACTACATTAAAGTAATAAAGAAAATCACATGCTGTTTTTTGAGCTCTGGCCCCAAAGGTTTACGTAGGCAGTTACTGTCATGAATTGCGGACAGATGGACCCAGTATTCAAGGAGAGACAGTCAGTAGGAAAGTTCAAATGTTTATTAAATAAAACAAAAACTGAAGCGGAGCTGTGGCTCGCGGACACTGCAGGCGGGGGGGCGGGGCACCGCCCAATCTCCGACACTCTAGGGAGGAAACACAGGTAAGTGACCACGATAAACTGATATATGATTATCTGGGTCGGTCATTTACCTGGTTTAACAGTCAAGACCACGAGTGTCCCCAGTGCTGCAGTCCCAGAGGTTATGGTGGAAGCTGATCCTGGTGAGGGATCCAGAACAGACAGGAACAGACAGAAACAGGCAGGATCCAGATCAGGCAGGAACAGGAACAGGTGGCAGGATCCAGACTTCCAGGCATCCACAGGTTTCCAGGAGCCAGGTGGTCACGCACAGGAGCAGACATGATCAGGTGCAGACAGGCAGGCACAGTGGAAGAGGGTAGCCGAGACAGGACGTAGGAACCGAAACTTGAAGCAGGACTTTAAACTGGTCTCCTCCCTGGAGCCAGGCTTACTTTGATAAAAACTGAACCTCCCCACATAATGAGCCAAAAACCCAGAGGACTCAGCGGGGGAGGAACAGTGGACAATCAGAAGACGAGACAAACACTAAAACCCTCTTTCCACTGGCAGCAAGGATCCAGGACATGAACCAAATAAAACTGAACAGAAAGACTGACAGAAAGACAAGCAATGATCTGGCACTGAATGCTCAGGTTGAACTGAATATAAAGTAGAGGAAACAGGTGAGAGGAATAAATTATAATTGAGGCAGGGAGGGAAAAACGACAGGTGAAAGGAATTACTAATTAGGGAGGAGCAAACAGGCCAGATCATGACAGTTACTGTGTGTCCTGTTTTTGTTTTTGTTTTTGTTTTTTGAAAAAAACAAACAAAAACATATTCTTCAGAAAAGTGTGTTGTAAAAATAAATAAATGCAGTGTGATTTTGTTGTAAAGTAATTTATTAAGTTTTAATCTGCCAGAACTATGTTGTCTGTTGTTATATTCAAAGAGTGCCATGAGATTTCTTATTTTAAAAACGATCTTCAGTCTATTTTTTTAAGTGATGGCACATTTTGTGAATTTGGATGATTTGGTTTCACACCAAATTCACAAGAGGTAAACAAATAATAAGAAAGTTATCTACATCTCACACATGGACATAGAACTGTAAAAATCTTTCAATTTTTGATTCAGGTTTTTGAGCTAAAATTAACTTGGGTTTTTAACTGGTGCAAACATTTCTTCGTGGGTAACTATGCAAACTTTCACTCAAATATAGTTTGATCTAGATATTTTTAAATCTTTCCTCGACTAACAAAACACAAAAAACATCTTTTAAGTTTCAAGTTTTCATAGGATTTTTTTTAGCTATTCCAATTAAACAAAAACAAAATCCAGCAGCTAACTCAACCAGGAAACCACATTTGAATTGGTAAGCATCACAAGACCATGTTACAACTCTGATAGTGTTAATACACAAGGTTTTCCAAATTTTGTTATACATCTCCTGCTTTTAGACAGCTCTCATTCATATAATTTAATCTTAAATTATGTTTGTGCCCATTACTATTAACCAAGCTTTGTTTCTTGTTAACATTGTGATCACATTCATGTAGCTCTGTGCTTATATATATAAGCCACGGAGAAAAAGGACAGTTTGAGCGAAGCGATCGGCTAATTACTGCCACATTTAAATGTTAAAAGTTTTGCACTGTATCAGTAATGAGATACAGTAGGGGTGTTTCTTTTTCACTTTTAACTATTTGATTAAACCTGCTGGTCTGGCGATGGAAACTAGAAATATTGCTGTTCCCGCGAAATAGGTGTGAGAATGCTGTGCGCTAAACTGTAAGCCAAAAACTACAGAAACTGCTGAGATGATATGAAATAGAAGAAAAGATTAAGCTTAAGCTTAATTTCTTTGTTGAAAAATAGCAGAAGCAAGCTGAATGTTATGAATTTCCAGCAAACTTAGCAAAGCTTAATGCTTGCCCAGAAAGGGAGCAGAAATAAGACAATGTTGAAAATATAGGCAGAAATGTATTAAATTTGCAGAATCAGAAAAGAAATTCACAAGAAAAACTCGAATCCTATTTTTTGTCTGTATTGCCCAGAAAATAAATACTAATATAAATAGTCTTTGGTTGGACAAAAGTCAATACTGAGTTTTGAATCAAGTTTTTAGTTTTGTTGTTGCTCCCTCTAGGTCGAAAGACCTACATTAAAACTTGATCATTGTTAGCTGTGATCACTTGATGCTTATAAATAACTCCTTAGTGACTTTGCTGCAAATTAGTCATTCGAGTTACCCATATGCGAGTCGACTCAGCCTAATTAAGTGGACAAGTCTACTTTTTGTTGAAAACCCTAATAAGGGGATAATCATATTTTTTCATATTATTTCAGAGTGGTTTGAAACCTGTGAATTGTTTAAAGGCACCTAGTCACATACTTGACCTATAAAAAACATGAAAAAAACACAAAAACATTCATCTACTTACTACATAATATACGACAGAGGTTCATCCTGACAGTGTTTACTTAGTCCTTTTTGGGTCTAAAAAAGATTTTTGCATCAACATTAAGCAGGAGACATAAATATGGTTGTGTTTTACATGCTTGCAGTTCTTACTCATTAATCCATCAGAAATTAGTAACATTACAGTACGTATGTGACTTGACCCAGTTTAACAACTTTAAAGTAGAAACTTCTGAAATATTTCTCTTCTTTTTGGCAGCTCCATGTGGAGGACACTATGGTGGTTCAGAGGGTGTTGTTTTGTCCCCAAATTATCCTTTAAACTACACTGCAAGGCAGATGTGTTCCTATTACATTACTGTTTCCCCACAGTTTGGTAAGTATGTTTTAGTTACACTGAATATGGATACTGAAAGTTATACTGATAAAGGTATTAAGACAGTTTTATTTTTCTTGTTCATTTTTTTCCACTGTTATTTTTTAGTGGTCTTCGGTCAGTTTGCTGTTTTCCAGACGGCAACAAATGACTCAGTGGAGCTGTTTGATGGAGCAAATGATAATAGCCGACTGCTTAGCTCTCTAACTGGATCCCACTCAGGTGAGTATGTCCACTATTTCTATCTCTAAACAAACATAAGAGACTTCAGTTTAGTTATATCTTATTATCAAGCTTACAGTTAAACTTTTATAATGTTGACCATTGTTTCAATGAGACGTTATGGAGAAACACCTGTTCAGTCCTGACATATTTAGTGTCTTTTTTCTGTTATTTGCCTTGTTTTAGAGGTGATAGTTAACTTATATATGTGGCTCCCTAAATAGGCTCCCTAAGCTCTAGAATTGAGCACCAACAGTCGTTATTATAATTTATTTGACAGTGATTTGTTTGGTCAAAATTACTTAGGGGATATCTTTACAGGGAGATTTCAGCTGCTGAGAGGGTCTCAGTGGTGATGTATTATCTACTGTGCAGCAGTAGGAGCCTCCACAGGTTTGCATGCCCTGCAACTTTGAGTCATCAAAGCTTGGCAGTACTTTCAGTCATTGCGAGGAAACACACTGTGAATTGACAAAATCTGACAGGTCTTGTAAAATCGATGTTTATCACAAAATTTGAGGAATGAAGTGTGAGAAAATATTGATTAACATTGCTCATAGCCAGTTGTGATGCCATTACTTGTGACTTTTTCTTATGTTAATGTGTCATTGCAAATAAGTTCTCTGCAGTAAAATATCCAGAATATTTTCCTCATGTTTTGTATATCTATTTTTCCAGCTCACAAAATTTCTTTATACTTTTTAGGTGCTAGACCCTCTGATCATAGGAGCCAAAACATATTTGTAAATAGATTGTTTTTGAAAGTATACATCCTCATGTTTTTCTATTTATGTATAGTTTTAATTTTGCATATTGCTGAATAGATTCTATGTTCTTTACAATGTGTGCTGGATTTTTGATTCATTCATAAAACTTTCAAGGAAAAAGGCCAGTCTGAAGAGACATACAATTTTCTTTGACGTTTATTTCTGTCTAGTGTTTACTTTTTTGGAAGAAAAAAAAAAAGAATAAAACTCTGAAGGCTCTAGATAAATAATATATCTATATCATTTTTGTATCCTCACCCCCACCAGTGTTAACATGAGGTGGAGCTAATAATGATTCTTGCAGCCACAACAGACCACATTTTCTGTTTCACAATATAATATATAAATATATATAAAATTAATATATACTATTAATTTTATAACTGATATATAAAATTATTGTATAAACTAATATAAACCTGAATAAAATGGCTGAATTTGTGCAGTATGCAGCTGATTTCTCCAGAATCCTCTTAATCATGTACATAGTTAATACTAGTGTGTTGAACCATTGACGCATCTAAAACCTACAGGATATAGGCCCTCGGGCAGTGGAATTGCCCACTTCTGAGTTATGGCATCGTTCACAATTTTATGGACAAGGCAAACATTTTTTTTAGATAAGAACCAGTGAAAAAAAATGCTTAAATTGTAACCACAACCCTATTTAGACATGACCTTTAAGACCCTGACATACTTGAGAGGACTATCCGCAGCCACATTTCCGCCTTCATAGGTGAGCGCACCTATTTCTACATTTGTCATGACAAATGCCTTAATTTCCCACACATCCCTGGCATTATCGAATGAGTTTGGTTAATACTGTAGCTTCACAAAAACAAAAGAAACAAAGTCTAGCTGAGCACCTTGCGCCATTTCATCTCAAACCTGTCAGTAAGGCGTGGCTGAGACTGCTGGTCCCGACGACTGGCTCCTCTGAGCAGTGTGTTGTCACCAGCTATCGTCTAAAGATCCTTGTATCAGTATCATATTTCTAACAGTTTCGTATGAATACTCCTTCCTAATGAGAAGTACTTTGCTGCCAAGCAGTGTAGTGAAACAAATTGTTATACGAGTGTAAAAATGTAGCTTTGCGCACTGGTCTGCAAGAAGTCCACCTCCCATGTCTGCACATGTATGTGGGGGCACTTTGGCCTTAAAATAGGTCCGCAACCTGCTTCGGTTGGCTTGGCTGTGGGAGGTCAAGGGTCTTAATCCTTTCTTCCCCATATGCTTCTGGTTGCAAGTTCACTGGAATTCTAAAGATTTCATCTAACATATTTTTTTATGATTGGGTGTACTGATGTTGATTTATTGCCCAACTCTAAAATATTATGCTCTTGATATATCCCTAGACTTTTGACAATAAAAACAACCAAATTGCTTCTCTACTTCATGGAAAAGCTCACAATAATTCACTACATCATTATTACGGTCACATGACCAATCTGCTCCCCTATATGCTACTAATAATGGGCCAGATTTACTTATCGGACCGATACAGACATGTTTCAGAGTGACCAACACAGGCAGATTCCAATGTTAATAGCCGTATGTCATGCATCACTAAAGAAATTCTTAATTCTATTATGAAATAGTGGGAGTTTGCTACTATATCCATATAGAAATCAATATAGATGCTAATTTTTCCTAGGGGTTCCTTAGTTGCCCTGGGAACCTAAGCAGTCTCTTGTTTCCAAGGTCTGGCTATGCATGGGCTATAAATGTGGCTGTGTAAAGAGCAGAACATGAGGCGGAACGTTGTACTCAAATATTGAGCTACAGCCATTATTCATTAAATTCCATTCAAGTAGGAATATGCAGGTTTGTATAAATAAGATTTATTTTTTTCTCTATGCCATTGTTGGAATTTTTAGTATGGATCCTATATATGTGCCCTCAAGACTTTTCAAAATGTTTGCTGCATCTCCCTCACTGGTTTTACTGGTGGAAAATCAGTAAGCCAAAAAAGACATTTAGCTAATTAAACCTAAAATATGTTTTACCTCTCCAATTCACATCTACATAGCTTTGTAAAAGCTGTCTGTATTAAAACTGATGAAAACCAGTAGAAGAAACAGTTACTGATGGGAGAACGCAGGCTAAGTACAACTACTTATTTATGAAGAAAACTGATTTTAATACGACTAAATGAGAGCATGTTTATGATATTGTTAATATAAACATGTTTCTTTTAACTTGCTTTTACTTTGTTAAAAACTGTTATAGTTGAAAAGGTTAATTCAATAAATTATAGTTTTTAAGGACCTCTGTAGACTTTTATAGTTTTAAGAGCATAATGCCTTAAGGCTTTGCTCTCTGCTATGTGGTCTGCAATTTCGGATAACAATTACCGTATTTTCACGACTATAAGGCGCACTTAAACGTCTTTTTTTTCCCCTCGAAATGTGCGGTGCGCCCTTTGGTGCGGTGCGCCTTATGTGTGTTGTAACTGCGACTTTTGAGACCACCTCATTGAGGAGATGATGAAAGAGTGGCTGAATGTAAGGAGACCAGGTGTTTTTTTTCCACTCATCACCATCGCTGTTAATATGTGACTCCATGCGTGCCCATCTCACAGCTGATGTGAAAAACATGGGGAAACAAATTAACGCTGTGCTCGCTGTTCAACCGCTCGACATCGGTGTGAACCGGACCCAGCAGGTGCAGCAGAAGCAGCGAGTTTACATGCAAAGTCAATGGTTGACGCGCGTATAGGTGCAGCAAAAAGCGCGTTTTGAGCAGCAGCCGCAGCGCCTCGGGAGCGTTTAAGTATCTGACGCACCGCCAACGCGCTGCTGCTGCTCGAGATGGAAAAATTAAAGTTTTGCTGCTGGACGCATCAACCAATCAGAGAAGCTGATCTGGGAGCTGACAGCGAGACAGACACAGCGCTCTGATGACATTAACGCAAATGAAAAAGGCTGGAGATGATGAAAGGCAGGTGTATGTGAGGAGACCAGGTGCTTTTTACCACGCATCACCATCGCTGCGTGCCCATCTCACAGCCGATGTGAAAAAAAAAGGTGAATCAAATGGATACTGTGCTCGCCGTTATCCCGGGGGGTCTGACAAAGGAACTTCAACCGCTCGACACTCAGTGTGAAGCGGCCGTTCAAAGTAAGGCTGCGAGCAGCGTGGGAGCGATGGATGACAGACGGAGACCACAGTTTCAGGATAAGAAGGCAGCGCCGGGCAAGTTACGCCACCGTTTGCGGATGGATTGTAGATGCTTGGACTAATGTGTCTGCTGGCTCTGTTGTTCAAGCTTTCGCAAAAGCCAGCATTATTTCTGAGGAGCTGCGCTGCACGGAAAGTGACTCTGACAGCGAAGAATGGGAAACTGGCATGTCTGATTTAGCGCAGCTGTTTAATTCAGAAACAGAGGAGGATGACTTTGATGGGTTTGATTAATACTTTGTAATAAATACATGAATAAAGCACAAACATACTCAGTTTTGCTCCCGCTCTATTTTTCTACCTGAAAACTTAATTCAACAGCAGCCTCTGGGCGGGTCTCCTCCTCTTCACCGTGGCGGCTGGCAGGTGTTTTTCATCTAAATAATCTAAATCTTGCAGCTATATTTGCTGTGATCAGTGGGAATAAAGTAGTTTTAATATGTTTTTAAGTGAGAAAGGCCACCTGAAAACTTAATTGCAGTCAGTTCATCCAGATTATCTATTTCTGTCGGAGGCGCTCAGACCCCCACATACCAGCGGTGCACCGACAGCAGAGATCCCTTCAACAGCAGCCTCACCGCGGTGGCTGGCAGGTGTTTTTCATCTAAATAATTTAAACTGCAGGCACCAGGATACCGGCAATAAAAGCGAACATATTCCGTCGGCAGGTTTCAGGATTTTAAGTTAATTTAGGAGTGATCACAGCGCTGTGTCATCTGCGATATGTCTGTCTCACGGCCAGCTCGCAGGTTTGATTAATACTTTGTAATAAATACATGAATAAAGCACAGTCATACTCAGTTTTGGGCCCGCTGTATTTTTAAAATACGCAGTAGACGTATTTAAAGGTAGTAGAGGACATGTACCTGTATATAAAAAATGCGCCCTATAGTCCGGTGCGCCTTATGTGTGTGTTAAATACAGAAATGGCACACATAACTGAGACTGCGCCTTTTAGTACGGTGCGCCTTATGGTCGTGAAAATACGGTATAAATTTTCTACCAACATACTAAAGGTTAAAGCTTTGTGCCATATTCAGACCTCAGAAAAATATTATTAGAAGCCTGGGTGACTTATTGAGGACACAATGAAAGTGACGGGGGGGCATACTAAGTAAATAGTTACAATATCATTAAATAGGCTGAAACTGCTGCTGGGAGTGCGCAGATGATTGTATTAAAGTGTTGTATATTTTTTTCATCTACAAAATTTCTGTTGAAACACTTAGGTTTTATCTTTTTCCTTTATCTCAAGACTGTGTTGCCATATGTTTATTTATTTCAGGAGAGACTTTGCCATTGGCAACATCTAATCAAATCATGCTCCGATTCAATGCTAAGAGTGGCCAATCAGCTAAAGGCTTTCACTTCGTCTACCAAGGTAACTCTGCGTCTGTTTCTGAGTTGTAGATATATCTTCATCTATAACCTAACAATTGTAATATTATTCTTGTTCTCATATAAATACATATGCATATCACTAAAATTAATAAACTAATTTTTGTGTTTAAGTAAATCATTTGGAAATACTATATTTCAGGTGTTTTCCACTTATGAAAATTTTTGGATTGTGGCTTACAGCCAAAGAAAACCCCAAATTATCTTCTTTCGATGAAGGAAATATTATATAGGAAAAGGGCATAGATAATGAAGATAATAAACTTTATTGGTCATTGCAAATGTAAACTATGAAAAAGTAAATCAAATATTTGTCTATGAATTTAGCAGTAGAGAGCGCAGAACTAGCCCAGGGATTTGCCGTGAACTACTGCATCATTGCATCGTGGCACAATAAGGTAGTTATTTTGTTGCCATTAAAGCAGATATCTAGACAGTTGTCAAATCTTGCTGGAAATAAAATTTGCATCTACATAAAGCTTGTCAACTTATCAAAAGAAGTTCTACATCAAACACCTTGTGTTATGTGTGTCTCCATTCTTTATTCAGACCACTGTACCTTGGTTTTCAAATTAAATTTACTTTCATCTGATAAGGAGGATTTAAGAGCACTGAGAAGAGTCATTACAAATGCAAAAAAAGTGCCCATGTCCTAGATGCATATGTGTGATTCATAATGCACTGAATCCAGCCTTGGAAATTAAAGATTTATTTTTCTAAATGATTTTTCGTTACAATGTTTTTAATGCTGTTGTTATCCTTTTTGCTTGTGCAACCCTTTTCATCAAGACATTTTTCTTCCTATCAACTTTCTATTTTTCCATTTTTTGTTTATCATCTTTCACTTTAAATGCTTTGAAACAACTTTCCTTGAACTTTCATTTTAGAAAGTATATTTTTTGGCTTCCTTTTCAGTATTTCCTGGAAACAATTTCTTGAAATGTTTCACTTTAAGTGTAATTATTTCTATGTTTATAAAATATAAATTGTATTTCTAAAGTATTATTAAAACAAGTACAGTTGTGTTTATTTCATTTATTGAAAGAATTTTTATAGATAGATAGTTAGATTATTTCTTCCTTTCATTTGTAATGCAGCTTGACCTTTTTTCCTCATTGTAGCTGTTCCTCGCACAAGTGATAGTCAATGCAGCTCAGTGCCAGAGCCTCGGTATGGCAGGCGAATTGGCTCAGAGTTCTCTGCAGGCTCTGTTGTCCGTTTCGAGTGCAGCCCTGGCTACCTGTTGAAAGGATCTAGTGCAATTCGATGCCAGGCTGTACCGGGTGCCTTAGCACAGTGGAATGCATCAACACCCACTTGCATAGGTAAGATCATCAAAGCTATGGTGCTTTAAGAATGTAATCAGCAAATCAATGTTTCTCCAAAATAAATTTCCTCACAATGTTTCGATTAAATAAATAGATAAGGCACAAATTATACAAAAAAAAAACAGTTTAAAAACTTACATCAAGAATCAGTCAGAACCTTGACCTGTCAGCAAATATTTACATTTCAATTTTTATGTGAATTATATATATTATAAACTATTCCTTCCTTAAATCACAATGTATGCTAAAATATTTCAATATTTGATTTCAAAGGTTAATTTGTGAACATCAATATTATTTTTGTCAGAGGTATCCGTAAGTCTGTGCAGCCTTTTGCTTTTCCAGGAGCCTGTATTTGATACATCAATAATAAAAAAATGTGAAAAAGGAGGCTTTTGGTTCTTTACGGGATTTTTTGAAAATTTTTAATTTTGTCTCTATGCTAAATTATTTCTAATTATACTGTATACTTTAGTTATATGATGTTTTACATTTATAAACAAGATGCTTGAATGTTATATTTACATCATTCCCTAGAGAAGGGATGACATGGTAGCAATGAGAATGAGCAGGTTTGAAGTCTCAAGACAAACTCCATCTCTAGGAGCAGAAATATAATGGGAAAAAACTCCCTCTGGTAGTTTTGCCTCCTGTTTAATCATATTGTAATAGGCAATTAGGTTACTGTGTCACTCAGTGTCAAAATGTAATCTTTGCTGCTAAGAGCTGGAATTTAGCAAACATCTAAATGATGCCCATTTATTTATGCTTCCCTGAAAACATCCTTTGCATTTTTTCTCCTGTCGTCCAAGGACATATTACATTAAGCTGTCGTAATGAATAACTACTTAGTTGATACATTATGTGAGGAAAGTAATATTCTATATTTCCATTTAAGTTCCCTGCAGTGGGAATTTGACTGAACGTCGAGGTACCATATTGTCTCCTGGCTATCCTGAACCTTACCCCAATAGCCTAAACTGTCTGTGGAGGATCCATGTCAGTGAAGGAGCAGGAATACAGGTATACCCATTTGTATGCAATTATGTATCAGAGACATATAGAATGTATTGAGGTTTTCATTAATGTCTATATCTTATTTCACTAAGTGAAATGCATAGATTGAAGTTTTTAAGACTTAAACTCTGGTGTTTTGAATATTTTTAATTTAAAACTAATTAACACCACGATAAAGATTATAGTATTACATCATACCATAAAAAAGGAATTGTGGGTTTGAAAAAAGTAAGTTTAATACATGCATAAACGTTTTTATTTTCAACAGATACCTTTTATCTGACAAATTAATGCTGAACAGAAAGCAAACTCACTTTTGTTAAATACAACTGTTTATCACCCTTTAACTTACCAGTTAGGATTCTTATACACTTGCAAGCTGTTTTGTACCCTGGTTTTGTTCTTTTTTACTTATTAGATCCAGGTTATGACCTTTGCAACTGAGCATAACTGGGACTCTCTGGAAATATATGATGGAGGGGACATGACAGCTCCAAAACTGGGATCCTTCTCAGGTATGACACCCCAGACTTATGCAGATAGATCACTAACGTAACACCTCAAAGATGCAATAAAAAAACAAAAAACTAATGTTAGTTGAACCATATTTTTTCCAGTAAGGAGACCCGCTGACAGATGCTGTAGCATTATTTAACTACATTTGTTTATGGCTTAGTGTAATAAAAAAATACAATTAACAATAATAATTATGAATGGAGGAAAATGGAAAGAAAAGGAGAGTCCCCACCATGACAGTCACTAATGAAGTATGAACTAACCTTTTACAATTTCCCTGCAGAATTTCCCCTGTGCCCTGCCCTAAGCAAATACCTGTCACACAGCTATCACACATAAGACATACTGCCTATAGGGCACACACACACACACTGGTACACCCATATGAATGTACCCTTTTATAAAGGACACATCAGGGAGCTGTCCACTATAACCATGCTGATCTAAGGTTGACCACAGAGCAGCTTAAGAGGGCCAGATAATACAGTTTCCCTGAAGAATGCTCTAATGCTTCTTGTTCATACAGTAGCTAAAGAAATCTTGTTCATGTTTTATAGGCATCATTTTAAATATGTCTACATTTACCTTTTTTTAAATAAAGGATGTATGCCATGCATGAGTCATAATACGATTTTTGCAACAGAAAAAATTATAACAGTTTCATACTACCACAATATTAGAGTAAATATTCCCAAGTTTAGACTTTCAACTTGTCATTTATTGGTAAAACAGCTTTACTGAAAAAATTTATTGGATTAGATTTCAAAAAGCTACATTCTTTTTTTATTTTAACATAACAGACAGCATTTTCCATGAAGACTTTTCTTCTAGAGATGTATCCAAGCCCTAATCAAATAACAGTGATAAACCAGTAAAAACAGGTGAAAAGGATACAATGATCTTGCTGATTGATCAGAGCTTCTGCATCCAACATACCTTAAATTCTTTATGATGAATTCAGCTTACTTTTTTTTTTTTTTTTTTTTACCTCCACCAAGGAGTTTTCAGAAGAGTTTGTGTGTGTTTGTCTGTCTGTGTACAAGATAACTTGAACAGTTAAGAACGGATTTTAATAACATTTTTACCAGCAGTGCACCTCATCCTAAGGAACAATCCATAGAATTTTGGTGATGATCCAGATCATAATCTGAATACAGGATTTTTCTTTTTAATAGTATTCATTGTGAGCTGGTGATTTATGTTGGAAACAAGCAGTTTCACCCCTAAACCAGAGGGTGGCAGCAGTGACGATTGACAGTTTCAGCATTAGACTCCAAAAGTCATGATCCAGGGGTCCGTTTCACGAAGCAGGTTTCCAAAAAACTTTAAGTTTAACAGGGAGACTTTGACATTTTCCGGTCCACAAAGAGAGTTTCCTCAACCTCTGTTTCTGTCACCATAGTAACATTCTCCCCAGAGCTAACCTGGACGGTAGCAGATTTTTTTCTGTAAACTCAGAGTATCTTCTTTCTCCACTCTCCCTACAGCCAATCACACTGTTTTATTTCCTAATTTAGCCAGACATTTGTCATAGTTTTGTGCATAAAAAAATAATTATATATATCATTCACTAGGTCAGTTACACACATTAGGTTTTAAAAGCAAACGTTTGTCCATTTGATGAAGATCTTATTAAAGAATGATCTGCACTTTTTCACAGAGAATTAAATATTTAAAGGGAAAGGATTCTACAACACAGGTGACAGGGCATGAGATTACTTGTTTTTGGTTTGTTTATTATGAGCAAGATGCAGATCATTTAATCTTTATTTAGTTATATTTACAGTGCATGAAGAACTACTGAAGTTTTTTTGAGATTACAAATAAATAGATTCACTAATTCCACGGGGGAAATTGAATTACTTAGGGTTAGGATTAGGATTCACTCGATGATGATAACCTACCAAGTCTACTGACACAATCTGAATCCATTCTATGGGACTGATAGCCGCTTAAAACAGCCATTTATTGAGATAACATCCAAAGTGACTGGAAACAGCCACTTAGTATTTACTGTGTAAAAAAGATTGATTCAACATGAGGAGGTACCCATGAGATGATGAACAGCTCATATCTATTAGAAAAACATTTTGAGACTTCATTTTCACCTGCTGCCCGAGGATTTCACCTAAATAGATACATTGATCTAATACCATTCAAGAAATAATCCTGCAATATTATCGCAGTCACAACATACTGTGGCAAGCTGTTTTGATATCTACTAGTTTTACTGAATATGTATTCCTGATATCTGAGAAAACAGATGTCTAGAAATTTATTTCATATCTCCATATTCCTTATATTACTGGTCAAGATTTGCAATATTTTAACTATGAAAAAATGTTTTTCAGATATCATAAATACATTTTATTCAAGCTGATAATGTCAGAACGGCCACTTAAAAAGTGTACACATTTCTAGAATTTTAAACTTAATTCTTACTAGTATAATTTTGTGTTCTTTACTTTCTAAAATTCAGTTTCTGCAACAAAAATGTAATTAAGATAATATATGATTACAGTTCAGTCTAGGAGCGGGATTTTTATCAGTAAGAATCTTATTTTGGTGATCTACAAATGGAACAACAGAGAGGAGTCCTTTTAATAAATGTAAAAGTGGCCTGCCATAGTCCACTTCATATAAATGTACGCATTAAGTGGAGCAACGATCATCTCCTTCGCCATCTTCGTCTCCTTTGCAGCTGTAGCGCTGTTTCTCTGTCCTTTAAACACATTCTCCCTTTTTATATTATTTCTGCATTAAAATCTCTAGTGCCAATGGGGTGAAATAGGAACTTTCTGTTGTAATGGTGACTCATTGAATTGGTGCTCCATTGATAATGGCTTTTCATACATGTCACGCACGTGCTAAACTCTTCATAGCAGCCATTGTGAAACCGAAAACTCAGAGTTCCCGACCTTAGGCTAGATCAAATTAGAGTTGCGGATTTGAATTTGAGTTTGTTAAACCTGCTTCACTAAACAGACCACAGATGTGTGAGTTGTACGTATAGTTGTCGGTAGATGGTAAGTACTTATATAGCGCCTTTTTTCAAGTCAGGAGACTTGACCAAAGCCCCTTACACTACATTCATTCACCCATACACTCACACACTGATGGTGGCAAGCTACATTATGGCCACAGCTGCCCTGGGGCTCACTGACAGATCAGTACAATGGTACATCTCACAATGAAAGTCAGAGCCGGGGCTTGAACCGTCAACCCTTCGATTTCAGGGCAAACTCCAACATCCAACGCCACTGTCGGTCACAATATGAGGCACATTTGCTGGTTGGTGGCAGTCTGTGTTCTCTCAATGTTTGTTTTTTATTTACACCAGAGGGCACAGAACATGTGTTCAACATTAAATTTTGTCATTATGAATTCCATTTTTTTGGTCTTTTTTTTATTTATTATTTTACACCATTCTCAATATCTCATACAGTCATTCATAAGCATCACTGCAGTTGATTGCACTTTACATAGTAGATTGAGAAACTGTATTAAGTTTGTTTTTGAAATGTAACTTTTTTAACCTAGGTTGATTATGAAGAACACCATATCTATTGTAAATTTATTAGTATAACATCATTCGTACTGTACACATGGTAATTGAAGTTGTAGGGGAGTCTTATGTAACACTCGTATTATCAAAAAGAAACTGAAAACAATATATACAAGGATAATTGTATGAAATATGAAAATGAGGAAAAATGTATATGACGCAATTCAAACAAATAAAAGGCATAATGAAAATTCTTTCTCTTGTTTAGTTCTTATCTCCAAAATGCAAAGAAAGGTGGTCTCTTCTTACCTGGCTGATTTACATTGTCCATAATTAAGAAGCAACTTAAAAATGTATTTAGAACAGTTAATGCTTTATAAACAACAGTTCAAGACAAGATATACAATATGAAAATTTCTTAAAAATCTGTAAAATATGGTCAAAAATGCATAGCTTGGTTTTACAATGACTTGAGTTAATGCTTATTATTGGTTTCCTTTTATTCAAATCAATGTGTAGACGCTAAGCACTACAGGCAAACCCAGGTTGTACATTGCTCTAATTGTGTCTCTGTGTGTTTTATATTGTACAGGAACAACGGCTCCTGCTCTCCTCAACTCAACATCCAATCAGCTACTCTTGCACTTTCAAAGTGACATCAGTGTGGTGGCAGCAGGCTTTCACCTGGAATACAAGAGTAAGTTAATAGGAATTGATTGGATTCAAAGGGGAAAATACTTGATTATATAAAACTCCAAAGGACCTATAAAGTGTGTCCTTCCTAACCAGAAACACACACAAACAGAAACACACAATACTGCTGCCAAAACTTTGACATCAAATAACGAGAGTCAGTGACCTGAACTGGTATTGCCTGAGAGCACACACACATGCTGGGCGTTGCAGTTTAACACACACACACACACACAACGCTCACCTGCAGGGACACAAACAAATTCCTGTTGGCTCAGACACAAACACAAAGTTTCTCTGCCTGTGTCAGGCATGTACATAAATCCAAGGAAAAAGGAAGGCACATAGGAATAAAACTAGCCAGACAAAAACAGGTATGGACACTTATATTACCATCATATATTTACAAACCTGTCAGAGCATAGATGTGCATTTCAGTCCTTTGTACTTATTTTAGCTTAGAATCACTTCTAGATCAATGAGCATGTCCCCTTCTGTGAGAATATGTGAGTTTTAGTGTGTACGAATAAGGATTTTGTGGAATGGAGATTTGTAGGTGGGTGCACAAATTCACATCAGTGTTTTTGGCATCTCTGTGTGAGCTGACATGACATTACCACGAATAAAAACCTGGAAGACTGTGTTTTTGTTTATGCTTCACTGTACTTTTGAATGGAATTGCTCTGAGCTTTGGCACTTAGCTTTTATTAACAGAACAATACTAATAGTTCAAGGATTTGTAGATAGTTTGACAATAGAAATGGTGCAACAACTATGATAAAGCAACTATGCTAATATTTCTTGTTTTGTTTTTATTGCCAATATAGTTTTAGAGCTAATTTAGAGCTAGTGCCTGGTCTATAGCAGTTGCTTTTATTTTGACTTCCAAAACACTAAAATCATGAAAAACTGGTAAGACAGAGACACCTTCTCGTTTTGAAATATAAAACAAAAAGCTGCTTATCAGGAATAAGATCCATATACGAGTATGAAATGATAATTTAGTCAAATAAACATTTTTTTTTTGAATTTTGCTTAAAAAAAATGTTTTTTTAAACAAACTCTCCAGACAAATTAAAGTGCCTTGCTTATTAAAAGTGAACCAACACACCTGTAAACAGAAGCAGGAGTCTGACTCATTTCCTAAACATTTCAGGAAACACCTGATTACAATGATTGCCTCAAAGTGTTGCTCAACAAAACTTACGTTCAGGAGCTCCATCAGGCTTGTTTACTAGTTTTATTTATTACTATGTATATATGCACGTATATATATTTATATTAAAAATCCATGTTATGATTTCAACTTTCTATATTTTTTATGTATTATTACTTTTGTTAAGTTTAATTAATTCTACTACCAGTAGAATGAAATCTTTCAAGCACATCTACAGGTCTGGCCTGTACAAAACATATTTTTATGCAAGACTCTGGTCTATGAAGTTTTTTAAGCAGCAGCCCTGTTAAATTTCCTAGTGTTAACACAACCAGCAAAACAAATTGTTCTGCGTTTTGCTTTTTCACCTGTCCATCTGCCTCAAAGAGGAAAGTAACTCAGAACTATGCTTTTGTGTTTGCCTGGTCAGGTATAGAGGGTTGCCTGCTTTTGTTGTTGGTATAGTTGCAGGGTTAGCTGGGTTTAAGGTTCCAAGTGAGTTACTGCAGAAAGGTGAGAGACTGAGTGCCTGTGATCTTGCAATGCTGCTGCTAGAAGTACAAACAATTCAGGCAAACCAGAATGGGTCTTGTATAGCTTTTGACTGATTTGAGTATCCTAAAATAATGAATAGCTTAGCTTAGATCATGAAAGATAGATAGATAGATAGATAGATAGATAGATAGATAGATAGATAGTTTATTGCAGCTAATCATAATATAGAACATTACCAAAAAGAAAAGGACTAAACACATTATCAGACATAAACCTGCAAAAAGTTATACAATAAGAAAACACTTCACACAGCATAGTTATTTCCAATATTTATAAAATCTTGGAACAGACCTTTCTGATTAAAAAATGCACATTAATTTTACTTCTTTTAAGCGGCATTAATTTAATTTAAACAATGATAAACACACCTGCTTCCATACATTTTAGACCTCATGTGTACTGTAGTTTGAATGTTATTTGTTTTTCTACTTCAGTTGTTTTTTAAAAGTTGAGAAACGTCTCCACTTTATCCCAGCTCCTGTTCACCTCTTCTTGTTGTTCTCATTTCCAGGTCAGGGGCACCACGAAGTATTTGTTCTTGAGGCCTCTAAATGGCTAGCACTGCCACTGATCTTACCTTTTATCTAAGCCTTTTTCGCTGTCAGGTTCTCCTCTGAATACACTACTGCTTGCTTGCAGTCAGAACTCCGTTTCCTTTGAAAGACTGTTTTGAGTGCTGCTGTTATCTTTCAACTCTGCTCCAGTTCATAGAGTCCATTTGGACCCTGGGTAAACATCAAAGCTCTGGTGATTTATTTCCTCTGCTTTTCCTAAACCTACAGAAACATAAATGTATGGCAAGTGATTTGCAGTTTTTTATCAACATTTTGCAAGAAGTTATAAACTGTGGACTGGGACAGGACTGGGGCAGGGATGCAGGTACACGCCCCAGTGTTAGACCGTATTTCGTGACGAATCATATATTGTGACCCAAGGCAGAGCTACATCATATTTTAGTATATTAGTCGCGTGACTCTATAGGCTTAGGTATGAATCATGTAATGTCAGGGTTAATATATAGACCTGTGAGGAGAATCTGCAGCAGCCCCCTTTTGGGTCACACCATAAAATATAGGTCACAGAATATTGTATAAAACCGGTACACACCGTGTAAAAACGTCCCGATATGCTGAAGGATAAAATTTGTAAGTGATGGTACTGCATGGTGTTGCTTTTAAAAGCACTGGTTCACTCTGACATGTCATTACAGTCCACATCAATTATATCTATTATAATTTTATATTATCTTTCTTCGGTAACACAGATTACTGTGGATGTTTAATCGTAAATAATTCTAGCAATAATGTTGATCACATTTTAAGCTGACCAAAGGGGCCTGAGTTTGAAAGGATGAAGGGAAATCTCTTTATCGCTCGACTGTCCTCTCATAAGCTAAAACAGAAGTGCAGTACATCCAGCCAGTTAGGCTTAACCGCTGACAATGTCTAGCATAATCTAGTAGTCCTGTTGGGATGTTTTGTGGTACTGTCAGCAGTTTACAGAGCATAACCACTCTTGCATAGTCAGGAAATGGATGTACTCTCTGTTGGCAGAAGGGAGAGAAAGATGGTCTGCCAAATGGAAGAGTTTCATTGATCAGTTGTCATGACAGCCCACTGATGCTCTGCCTCATAATACACTTAGTGTGTTTTTCTGAGTATATGTATGTTAAACGCTTTGCAGCTTTCCGACTGACACTCCCTTTAAAAGATAAAGTCCACCTTACCCCCCCCACCTCAAGCAGACTAATTTGAAAATGACTCATGCATTCACAGTCACAAATGTCATTTAATGATGGTACATGCCAACCGGGTAGGTGTGTCTTTGCACAGTTTTGTGTGTGGGTACAGGTGGACATACACTAGTAGGAAAGCAGATGATAAACCAACATAACCAGTTACACAAGCAAGGCCAACAAAATTCCTTCCTTCCTTCCTTCATTTTTTTTTTTTTTTTTTTTTTTTACAAATATTGCTTTCTTTCTTCTTTGTTTTAGCTGTTGGGCTCACCACTTGCCCAGAACCAATGATCCCAGCAAACGGCATAAAAACAGGAGACAGATATATGGTGAATGAAGTGGTAGCGTTCAGCTGTGAGCCTGGTTACACACTACAGGTAATATTTCACTAAACACACAAAAGACTACCTTTATGGTATGCATTACTGATTATTATGTTTTACAAACACTTCAATTATTCATTTTAGTGAAAGTGCATTGTTATCCAAATCAGGTTTAATCAAATCTCTCCTCTCATTACTGTATGAATACAATGGGAAATATATACAAATGTCTACATCATGTCTTCAGTACACAGTTACAGTAATACTAGATTCTTATACAAAGTATGAAAATGTTAATAATATTTTCACTGTCTCATCACTGTGTAGTTTTCAGCCACTAGAGATGCCAGACTTGTAACTTTCAGGTTAAGTGCCCCTCGAAAGCTACTGGCAACACTGCACTGTTACAAAACAAAACAATCATTTGGAATCTGATAGCTGACCACTTTGGACTAGTAGACTGAGAAGATTATTTCTACATACACAGCCTTCTAGATTAATCACATATACCTTTTTTTTTTTTTTTACAACATTTTAGGGTTGGCTATAATGTTTAAGTGGAGTTCAGGCTGGAGTAAGGGGACTCTCTTGGTCACATGACCCATTAGTGACAGGTATAACCCTCTCAAGTTAGAGAGGGTTATACCTGTTCTGGAGAAGGGCATCCCGTAGGGACCATCAATGTCCACTAAGTGCTGTAAATTGACCTGAAAAGTTAATATGTGAGGCCTTGGGTCAATTTTTAATCTCATCATTCTCACATCATAAAAGATTTTGATGTGAGAATGATGAGATTTGTTTATAATTTTCATGTTTTTTTTTAAGCTCTGTATAAGTTAATTCACAACAGCTGGATTGACCAGGGCAAACCTGTTCACTTAAAGGAAAATAAAATAATAAATAAAAAAATGCCAATACTTCAAAAAGAGAACTGTGGACCTCCAGATGCTTAGTTCTTTAGAATAAACTAGATTACCATCATACTAAGTAAGAACCATGATGCACAGGCAGTTTCTGTGTTCCAGAGAAAAATATTCATGTGCAATGTATGTTATCAAACCAAAACAACAACAAAAGACATTTTAAAAAAGCTTAATGAAGCTGGTAAGAGAATAATACATGGCGAAATTAGCTCTCTACCAACATTGACTGAAAAGCCAATTGGCAAAGCAGAAGCTATCCAAAATTATCGCCCAAACAAAAGCAAAAGTTTGTCAATCACAGTTCAGTGGATTGGCTAAAAAAATACAATGGATGAGAACAGAACATTATGTTTTAATACTGAGGAATCATCTCTTTTTTGCCTTGATTTATGTTTATTCAGAAAAAAGAATAATGTGTAATGAACTGTTACTGAATTTATTGCATCTAAGATGTGATAAATCCTTTTTAGGGCCATTCACACATTTCCTGCATGCCTGGGACTGTCCGTCGTTGGAACTACCCACCACCTCTCTGTATAGGTATTGCACAGACACATGAAAACATTTAACTGTGGACTAAATAGTTAAATTATTGATTTTTGTATTGGATATGAAAAATAAGTCTCTCAATCTTTATAGAATATTATATAGTAATGTCATTGAAATAATATTTAGGTTTGAGACTTTCGTACAACTACGTCAGATAAAGGAAATCTGCTTGAGAGCCTACCCATTTTAGATCTGTATTTTAGACATTATTATTCAATGTTATTCGATATATGAAGGAATACTAATAAAATATTTATTTTTATCCTATGTTAGCTTGATTAAAGTTTACAAAGCCAAAAAAAAAAATCTCCACTGATGTGATTTGAGTCATCTGTAGGTAAAGATGGATACAAGCATCAACCAAATTTATTTCTAAGAAAGTCAAAATCCCTAACGTTTTTTTAAGTTCATGTTTGTGTTTTTCGAATTGTTCAAAATTTTCTAAAAGCTTTTGTCAGAGATTCCCTTTTAAATTAAATGTTTATGCATTGGGACAAAATAAAAAAAGGTACTATATTTTTCTACTAGTTTTTGTTAAAGCTAGTTATAAAGTACAGTTTTCAGTACTATAAAAACCCTTTAGAAGCGTATTTATGTTCAAATTTGTCAAAGATCAAAGCTGTAATCTCTGATGTACATTTGTTAACATTATATTTTATGTGTACTCATTGCCAGCACGCTGCGGTGGGGTCCTTTCTGAGATGAGTAGTGTGATCCTGAGTCCAGGCTTTCCTGGCAACTACCCTGGAAACCTGGACTGCACTTGGCTAATTACCCTGCCAGCTGGATATGGTAAGTCCTGCATAATGTAGTAGTATTTGAAAGAGTATCCCTGAAGAGAATGTCATTTCAGGTATATTTTTTGGCTTGGACTAAACTAAAAGATGCTTATTTTGTGCAACTTTTGCCATGGATTAATTGTGTTTTACTGTATACTGCATTTAAAAAAGAAAGAAAAAAAACTGCTGTTTTTCTTTTTTGAAGTGGAGGATGAAGTAGTAACTTTTAGAGTAAAGTATGTATCTATGTTTAAAGTGCTTTCATTACACCATGCCATGAACTGGCAACTGCTCCAGGATGTACCACACCTTTTTGCCCATAGTTTGCTGAGGATAGGCACCAGCATGACCCTGGAGGACAAACTACAATTCAGTTTTCAATTCAACCTTCCATTACAAAAAAACAAGTGCAACTACATTAAATTGTATTTTGGTACCAGGTACCACTGATGCTTATATGTATATACTGTGTGTGTGTGTGTGTATGTATATATATATATATATATCGTATATATATAGGCATAAGTGGTACCCAGTACCTCCAAACTTGAAGAGTGGTTACAGCAGATCCCTGAAAATAGAGACGTCTTGGTCCAGAACAGTTCAGTTCTAGGACCAACAAAGATACTGTGCAGAACCCTCAAGCTCCCAGGCCTCTCGTAGAGGACCCAAACTTGGAGGAAGAAGGGGGTATGGGTGAGGAAGAGTTTTATATATATATATATATTTATATATATGCATGTGTATATATATATATATATATATATATATATATATATATATATATATATATTTATATATATGCATGTGTATATATATATATATATATATACACATGCATATTGCATATATGACACACACATTGAACACACATTGAAATTGACAAAAGTAATAATAGATTAAATTATTTTTTTTTCTTTCACAAAAATCACAATAAAGATTTTATTTGACATAAATATAATTTTGTAATGAGTTATTAATTATTACATCTTTTTATTTAGCTTTGTATAATTTGAATTACTATTGTGAATTTATAATTTTCTTTAATGGGAGATTACGTAAACTTTCAAGCACGTCTGTATATACTGTAGAGCCAATTCACAACACATCTAATCTAAATGTACTTTATACTGTAGAGACAATTCAGTCACATCATTAAGTCATATTAGTACAAAAAGAATCTATCTAAAAAAAAACTGCTGATTGTATCTTCGTAGGACACATCCCCCTGGATGTCCATGTGGAGACAGGAGATATATATGCACTGTGTTGTTGACTCTACAGCAATCCCTCATAGCAAGCATGCATGTAGTGAGTGTGGAGAGAGAAAACTCCCATTATCAAGAAGAAACCTCCAGTAGAACCAGGATCAGTGTGAGCATCCTTCTGCTGAGGCCAACTGTGGGTTCAAGAAAACAGAACCAACATACAAAACCAACAAAGAAGCACCGTTCCATAAATACTGTGTTTGTTAGAAAAAGGAGCTGTAAACTAGTTCCACAGATATTTTTCTCCAGGACGGTGTCACAGCCAAACAGGAACAGACTAGATGAATCAACTATGACAAGATAAAGCAGAGAGAATGTAAAGTTAGTGACTGAAAAAACAAATACTGCAGAATTTGAAAATGGAGATATAATGAAACAAAAAGACATAGACTGGGTGTTTCCCAGAGTAATAAAAAGTAGTCCCTATGTCCTCCAGCAACCTAAGTGTATAGTATCATCACTATAGAGATAAGTCACAATAACCCGAACAACTTTAGCGATACTCTTTATCAAAAAGTAGACATGGGTGTCTACTTCAGAGACCAAATCTGGTAATGGGTTCCACAGGAGAGGAGCCCGATGACTAAATGATCTGCCATTGGTTTTACTTGTATAAAAAGAAAAAAAAATGTATAAACCACTTGTAAACCTGCAGATTAGGAGCAAAGTGTTCGGTAAGGGACAATCAGATCTGATGGAGCTTGGTCATTTAGGATTTTATATGTGAGAATGAGGATTTTAAACTGTTAAAGAACGACAAACAGCAGAAGATGGATGAATAGATTGATATTTAAAAAAAAAATTCTGTACAATCATGTGTCAACAGAGACTCTCCTGTTGCTTTGATCATTTCATGCCATCAGGCATTGTGTGGAGATGTTTTTTGTGTTGTTTTGTTTGTTCAAAACATGTACGTACTTCTTTTATTTTCCAGGAGCCCATATCCAATTTCAAAACTTCTCCTCAGAGGACAATCATGACTTTCTTGAAGTCCGTGCTGGACCACAACACAGCTCTGCTCTCATTGGTCAGTTTACGGGCTCACAGATTCCACCACCACTGATGAGCACTACGCACCTGACAATCATCCACTTCTACAGTGACCACTCACAGAACAGACCAGGATTCAGACTAACCTACCAGGGTAGGTTTCTTCCAAGATTTGTTCCAAGCTTTCAATGTGTGGTTGAGAAATGCCTCAGATTAATTTAGGGCTTTATCAGCGGTAGAAGAAGCCTGGGTTCAAAAGTAGGCTTGGTATTATTGATTTTTTTTGTCCAGATTTGAGGGAGGGGACATAGTAGTTGTTGAAATAATTTAAGAAAAAAAAGTCCTCTGGAAAGCTTAGAATGAATTAAGAAGCTCTAACCTAGCAGCCACATTTCAAAGCTTGGCAACTCAAAGAAATGATTTATGGGATGAAAAAATGCTATGAGGTTTCAAGCTTTGATCCATGGATGAGTCATGCTAAAGACTTTAAAAACCTTGTGGCTTTTCTCTCATCATTAAAAGAGATGGATTGCCAGTAAACCCTTGCGAGAGACTGACATCATGTCCAGCAGGCTTTACTTGTAACCCTGAGTGTTTCACTTCAAAGACATGGAAGCTGCATTATGGGCCTGTTTGCCAGGATAAGTAGAACAAGGCTTACTTACACCTAAGCTAATGCACATTTATGCACACATCTTAATTTCTTCCTTTTTCTCTGAACCAGTAAGTGCCTTAATACTGTAGCTTCTGTCATCCTCCTCCTACTTTATATGTTTGGGGAATGCCAAAATCATTCCACACAATGAGTTTCACCTAAAAACACCTGACAGCAATATTCCTTTGGCAGGAGGTTACAACACATGCAGAAGCTCCTCATTATTAACTGAGCAAAGTGTACCATCATTTCAGTGCCATTCTACATCACATGCAATCTCAGGTGTTCAAAGCTTAAGAGGTCATGAGACCGCATATCTGTGTGCACACCTGTGCAGCCGTAGCTGGATAAGTGCTCAAGCCAAAAATGTGACAATAAACACACTGGTAAAATGTACTCATACTCTACAATTTGAACACAAGTGTGACACAGAAAAGCTTAAGGGAGCTCTGATTCCAGTTTTGGCAATGGCACTCTGACATTGCTTTGCCTTTAACTGCTCTTTTCTACACATAAATAAGTTAAGTTTTTCTTGGAGTTAGTTTTAGACAAATCATTGGTTGTGATGTATCTTTTCTGTGTTCTGCTATTAAGACCAATTAATCTAGCCTACGTGTATGCAAACATAAGTGCTTTTTGGATTTTTTTTTTAACAGATTTTTTTTTTATTTCCCACCATCCATATAGTTCAGAGTGTTTTTATTTGTTTTTATTTGTTTTTATTTTTTTTATTTTATGGATTTTGTATAGCTCTTACTTAGTTTTACACACAGTTGTTAGTTGTACTGGAAATCATCTTGGAAAACTGGTGTTTGGATGGCGTTCTCTAACTTTTCAATTTCTTCTTCACAAACAGCACGTTATTCACATTATATCACAGTTGACACCCTCTCTGTAGTTGAAGGGAACTGCTTTTTATTTCTAGTGCCAAGGAAGAGCAGGTGTGCTTTTTAATGCCAATTGTCTGACAAAGCATAAGATGTCCAGGTATTTATTGATATAGAATGAGACCAATAACAAACAAGGAGCAAGACAATACTAGAGAGAAGTTTCAACAATACCATTACAAAACTGGAATTACTTTGGAATAACACTACTTTGCACACACTAAAGTCAAAGATAAAATGTGCCTGTGATTTATACATGCAATATGTCCAGGAATAAATACTTTGAATGGAAAAAGAATGGACTTATTTCTTAAAGGAATAGTACACCCAAAACATGATTAGCCTTCATTTTCTACTCACCCCCATGCTGAACAACACTCTGGAGTACTTTTTTGATATCTCAAATGCATCTGGAGATCTGGGAGGCTTCTTGCTGTCTGCTGACATTCAAATAATGGAGGTCCATGGCGCCCGAGACAGAAAGGTCCATAAAAGTCCACAAAAACGTGTCAATATTCCTCCATACTGCTCGTCCAATGTAATCCAAGTGTCCTGAGTGGGTAGCATCCAGAATTTACTCGAAACGAAGTCATTTAGAACGTTTTAGATTCTAAACAGTAGTGTATAGGATTTCCTAATAGCGCCCCCATGCGCGCTCACGATTCTACGGAAGCCGGCAGACCAAACCGGAAGAAAGTGCGCATTCAGCGTCTGCTCTGCCGATAATGCAAGCGTAGAAGAAGAAATGTGCTGTTTACCTGTGCAAAGAAAGAAACAACGAAAGAAAAATGTCTGAGGACTTCAGTGATGAGGAAGAGCATGAGTTCTTTGCCGAGCTGAATGCGCTGGTTTGGTCTGCCGGCTTCCGTAGAATCGTGAGCGCGCATGGGGGCGCTATTAGGAAATCCTATACACTACTGTTTAGGCTCTAAAACGTTCTAAATGACTTCGTTTCGAGTAAATTCTGGATGCTACCCACTCAGGACACTTGGATTACATTGGACGAGCAGTATGGAGAAATATTGACACGTTTTTTGTGGACTTTTATGGACCTTTCTGCCTCGGGCACCATAGACCTCCATTATTTGAATGTCAGCAGACAGCAAGAAGCCTCCCAGATCTCCAGATGCATTTGAGATATCAAAAAAGTACTCCAGAGTGTTGTTCGGCATGGGGGTGAGTAGAAAATGAAGGCTAATCATGTTTTGGGTGTACTATTCCTTTAACATTTGCACAGCAAGCTTTGTAGATCAACTGCAATACGCCAACTTATTACTTGTAATAAAAAAAGTTGCACATACAATTAACGCTTCTTATTTGGAATTTTTGAATATCAAAGTGTATACTTTTTCAAGCCGTATGTATTACATTAAAAAAATATCTAGTCGGTTCTATTGTCCTAATAAATATTGCACATAGTATTAATCATATATATATATATATATATATATATATATATATATATATATATATATATATATATATATATATATATATATATATTTATATATATATATAATTTGATTGCAAAGTACATGAGTCACAGATATATAGTCTGTTTAATTCAGTAATTACCTAATTTAATATTCTATAATGTATTACTGAACACATAGCTGTTTTTAAGTTGCAATTAAAGAGAGTCATCTAATTTATTGAAATTTTAGACCATTAAAACTAAAAGTATAGTTACTTTGCTTTACGAATAGTACTTATGAGAGCAGTAACTGAGTGACTAACTAATTTACATTTTGGGAAAATAACGCAAACTATTTAATTTTTTTAAGTAAGTCAGTATACGCTACTAAATATAGTTAGACCGAAACAAGCCATTTGTTCCTTCCTAAGTTTTAGATCATGTTGACATCATCTTTTCTATGATCCAGCTTAACAGATTTTACGGTATAACTGCTGCACAGCACTGAAGACTGTGTTTAAGCTGACCTTGTGTGAGCTCTTTTTAAGTGCTGTTAGGTGCTGCTTGTTCTGTCACATTTTGTGGTAGCAAGGACTTCAATGTCAACCACCTCTTTTTACAATAAAAGGCACACTTAATGGAGGGTATTGGCTTCCAATGACATCCATACAGAGAGAAATGCACCGTTGTAGGCCTGTGGTTGCTGACATTTCTCTAACCAAGTGCCAACATGCTGTGCATAAGATAGAAAATACTTGCTTCTCTCATTTCTTGTCTATCTTAATACATTTCTTGAAATATGGTTCTTTCATGTATTTGCTCAGGTTAGCATTTATCATTTCCTGCTAGTTATGGATATGGTAGGAAATTCTGAGTTTAGTGATGCTATACATGTACATAAAAATAATACTTTGAAGTTTTTTTCCCTCTATCGTTACATTGCAGGGATGTCCTATCCCATTGTCTCCCTTTGATGTTTAAGTTAGTATTTAAATCAGATTTATCCTCTGAATAAAATGAATCACAAAAAGTAATTTAGGGTTACCCTTCCTTTAAAAGTCCGGTCTTTACCTAATTACTGTATAAAACACCTAAAATGTTGTATGTTTTTCTCCCAATACTTGGACATTTTGCATGGACATTTTACTTTTAGCTGAAGATAGCGCTGAAATGCTACAGCAAACCTCAGCCACAAGAGAACACACACTTCGACCTGTCTGTGGACACAGGCCATTGTGAAAGAGATGTCCAACTACTAGCAAAATAAACAAAACTACTATCTGATATTCTTCCCATAGAATTGTAAAGGCTAGAAATCTCCTAAAGTCAGTATTCCATTATAAATAGAAACATCATATTTACTCAAAAGTTGAACATAATTAAATTGTACAACATTGGAAAACTTAATAATTGACAATCATATTCTTAAATACATACAAAGCTACAAAAAATAAAATAAATCATTACAAGCATGGAAGGTTTTCATGGAACTAACCCCTGTCTTTTAGAAGTTCAGTCAATATAAACCAGCATTGGAAAACCCACTTTTTTGAGAGAATAGGTCTTGCAAAACATGGTTACCACATTTGGTGCTTGTACCACCAAGCAAAATAAATGTTTCAGTAACCTCCTATGCTATGAATATGACAACCATATCCTCTTACTCTATACTCAGCTATACAGAATGGCCTAAGTGTCTTAGGTCCTGCCCCCTACAAACAGCCTCCCATTTACCGCACTCCCACAAGAGGACATTCCTTGGTGAAATACTGTATGAGTAACTAATATGTGTATGCTTACCTTGGCTATCTGAACAAAAAAGAGATGATTTAAAGCACATTGTTACAATATTAATGGTAACTTTTCTTTCTTTGGGTTTTTGTGTCTTTAGCTTATCAGCTTCAGAACTGCCAGGATCCTTCTCCATTTCCGAATGGGGACATTATCAAGAGTGACTACAGTGCTGGACAGTCAATTACTTTTCAGTGCTACTCTGGTTATGTCTTGATTGGACACAAGGTGCTAACATGCCTCCATGGGACAAATCGAAAATGGAATCATCCATTTCCTCGATGTGAGGGTAAGACATACCATTTAAATCTTTTAGATATATAGTAAATCTGTCTTTGCTAGTTGTTCTTTAATAAAGAGAGAATCAACATTGAAGGTGCGTGTGATGGATCCTCCCTGCGTTTACGGCCACAACCACGACAAACAAACTTCTTAGCAGACATGATGCTTACTCTGCTGTAAACCCTCTTTCTTTCTTTTCCTTTTTATTTAGTCTTTTCTTTTATTTTGGCAGGCGGTAAACAGCAGCTAGGTCAATACTGTGATCAAAGCAATCTTTTTATGCAGGCTGGGCACCTACTGGCTCGTGACATTTCATGGGCATTAGGCTGCCGTGCATTATGCATAATGTTAGGCTGTCGTTGGATGTACACTCTGGACTCGTTTTAAATACTCTGTGTATATGCCCAAAATTGAAAAAGTACATAGAAAGTTCAGCGTATGCCAGTGTTTTAGAATATTCTGGGACGTCAGGCATACACTGTCTGAATCATCAAGGTGTGACAGGGGCTTAAGGTTTTAACATCAGTGTAATTTTGTGGGTTCCTTTGTGTTCCTCTTCAAACGGGCTGTAATTTATTTCCTTGGTTAGTCCACCTTGTTTGAAAGTGTTTATTCTCATCAAAACTCAGGTCTGCTCTAAATAAGGAAGCTCAGCTTCACCTGGAATGAGGATCTCAGTTTATTTCATGATCTTTCTTATGGAAAGACTTTTTAACTGAATATAATTTAGTTAGTCCTAAATTATGTTTTTTAAACCTTCCAAAGTCCACTATAGAAATATATATGGAGACATATTTGATTTGAGACTATAGAGTATTCATTTGTTATGAGGTTGGTTATTTTCTGGTACAGTTTTTTTTTTAACCCAGATGAGACACACTTCCCTTCACTGTAATGGCACCTCTCCTTGATTTGGGTGCTGCCCATTTCATTGCATCATCTCTAAGCTGCTATAGCACGGCAGGAAAGCACCGGTTTTGGGCCTGATAAAATACCCTTGTACTCTTATTTGTAAATGTCCTATGATACTAAAGGACTGTGGTGTCTGTGGTGTAATAAAGATGGAATAAAGTGAATAAAATGCATAAGAGACAAGGAGGGGAGCGTCGGGAGCAGCAGCAGTAGTAGTCAGACACACTGCTTTATAACAGGGTGACTTTAAGACCAGTGTGGCTGCAGTCCTGATCTATTGCTGGCCTAACAAAAAAAGCCAATTACACTCACACTGCTGTGCCCTGCCTTGCCCACCTGTGGATCCAGCTAAGGAAAGGGCACTCTTGAGAAAAGAGCTTAACATCTGCTCATACCGTTTGGCTCATGATATTAAGGAACTTGATACTGAGATATCTGCAGCATCATGCCAAACTCTCTTTTTGGGGAACTCCATTCAGCAGCGTGGCCTCACTAACTGGAAGCATGCTGGAACAAGACAAGATTGAGTGTACACATACATTTTACTGATTTGGGTGTCTTGGGGCAACCCACTACTGCCACGTGTGAGCCTGGCATAAGAGGCTAGAATGTTAAAGTGAGGTTATGTCAAAGATGTGCGGATACTGTATTTCCAAGTTCATGCTGGAGAAAGAAAAATCATTCTGTATTTTCAAATGAACCCTCTGATTTAGCTTAGCATCCAGACTCTGTCTGTAAGGTCCGCTAGATCAAAAGCTTTGAAAGCACTGCTCAAAGCATGCTTACTCCTGATGAAAGAGGACCCCATGTTATGTTTGGCAAAGTTGTAAAGAGAAAGAGAAATTGATTTCAGCTGAATGCGATTCAAGGTAAAGTCCTCCTTTTTCTGCTTAGAATATAAGATAATATGATCAAAATGTGTCAATATGACTAACCTTTGTTTAGTATTTGGATTGTAACTTGTTATCAGCTAGTACTGAATGCCAGTATTGTACTCATAGTTTGGTAAGAAAATTGTGGCATTGGTGCATTCCTGCTGGAAACATAGTATCATGGCACTTTGCCGATTGGCTGAACCAGGTTTAAACCACTCACTCACAAAAACTGTTGCTGTCACTGTGCAGGGTATATTTTATTAGAGTACTTGTCTAAACTCAGATAAGTACATTTTGCATGATATATTCCCAGCCATAAATAATTTCCTGATGAAAAAAAAAACAATACAGGTAACCAGAATTAGGTTTTACCTATTCCCGGTGAATATTTCAGCTATCTCAAATTCCACTCCTAGGTTCTTTCTTTCATGTGTATTGGATCAAATTTTTTTTCAGTCTAAAACAATTTTATGATCGATCTATTCATGCATTCTATCGAGTTGAACGTGCAGTATCAGATCATTCCAGCCTATTTTAACCCTGCTGGCATGGTTCATCTGTGGTCATGCAGAATGTGCACCCAGGTGGTAGGCATGACCTAACAGGATGCTGCTGCATGGCTGATACCGCTTAGCTTGTCTAACAGTTTACAGCACAATGATGCATTTTAAATGTCTGGCAGACCACCCGCTAACTTTTTTATTCTGTCTCGTCTCGTCAACGAAAACTCACCCATGAGTCGCCATGTTTTAGTCATCAAAGCTCCATGTTTATTTTGTCAGTTTTCATTATCTTCATTAAAAAAAGGAGTGTCAAAAAAATAATTTCGTCATGTCTCCATTGACGAAAACAACACTGATTTATACCTGTGCCCATACCTGTAAAAATATATATATTTTTTTTTTCTATCCGTTGCTAATTGTAATCTACACACAAACCTTGCAGCCACACACTAAAGTAAACTTTTTCATATAATGTGTAAAAGTGAAGATGAAATGCTGATTTTCACTAACTAGTAACCCTCCTCAGGACAAGGCTTTCAGATCATGGTTGTCAACATTTACAAATAAGGTCAGTGGCAACAGGCAGCATAATCAAATTGAAAACAACTCGATGATGTGTTGACCGACTCTTGCTGTGGTCATGCAAGAATCACCCAAAGAATGCTCTTGAAGTCCACCAAGATACTGCATACTCTTGCAACTCCTTGATAATAAATATCCTGTACACTGTTTCCTACAATGGACCAGATTCCTGGCAATTGCTACTTTATGATCTGAGGTAAGGGAAGAAATCATAGAATCCTCTCCAACACCTGAAAGTGGGGATGCACAATTCCAGTCCTCAAGAGTTACCATTTTGGAACCTTTAAATACTTCACTTCTCCAAAATACTCAAATCTAACTGTATAGGTGGTCACATAGTTTTGAGGACCTGTTATTTCAGAAGGAGGGCAGGAAGGAAACTGTCATTGAAGGGATATAGATCCAAACAAGTATTAAATATATGAAATATGTTGACTTTGATCTGTATCATGAAAATATTTGGGTTTTTGACAGAAACTCAAGATATGCTTTCAATCAAAGCCATATATTTTAAAGGGAAAAGGTTTCTTCATCCTACTACCCTGTACAAGTGATGGAAGCTAGGCAGTATTTAGGTATATAACTTAGAACCACACAGCCCATGATAATACTGCTTGCTCTTCACCAAGTTGAGTGTTAGTTTATGTAATTATGCATTAGGCCAATGGTGGGCAATTCCACTGCCTGAGGACGGGTATCCTGCAACTTTTATATTTGTCCTTGGTCCAACACATCTAAATCAAACACCTCAGAATCTGCTGTGTGTAGTTTCAGAGCCATTTAGGATGGTGTTTCTTGTCACAAAGAGCCATTTAAAAGATTCATCATATTTCTAACCTCCTGCAGTGTAAGAGTAAATCTGTCCATTTATTTATTTTTTACCAGGTCTATCCTGTTATGCAAGATTGAAATTTTTCAAGCTGACTGTCAGTCTGCTGTTTCTTACAGCTCCTTGTGGATATAATGTGACAGCTGAGAATGGGACCATCTATTCACCTCAGTACCCCAATGAATACCCTAACTCCCAAGACTGCAACTGGCTCATCAGCGTTCCCCATGGCCACGGGGTTTACATCAACTTTACTTTACTGCAGACTGAGCCCGTCACAGATTATATTGCTGTCTGGTAAGTCTTGCAAATTTTCTACTAATTCACAGTGTTCACTGACAGACTTAAAAACCAAAAAGGCAGGTGTATATAACAGGTGTATATACTTAATGTATCATATAGTTATATTGCTCTTTTAAATGTATTTATTCTTTACTAGTGTTTACGGTTATTGTAAAGGAAAGTGATATTTTCTTTCAACACATGCCTTTCTGAGAAATTGTCTTGGCTTTACAAATGCATGCACAATAATTTTTTACATTCTCAAACATTTTAGTCTACAGTGACATGATTTAGAAGAGTTTAAATCTGTAGACTCTGTAAGAACAAGTGTAGGGCCTCCTCCCTTCTACTGTAACAATGGGATTCAGTGTGGAGGTAAGAGTGTAAAACAACAAGTGCAAGAGTAATGCATTTACAATGGGAACCCCTGACCAATTCAATCTAAGTCAGCACTATGCCCAGATGTAGGCCTAGAGAGGATTTGGAAACTCTGGAAGTAATGATGAGAGTCAGTGGGGTTTGGGAAATGTAATAAACGGAGCATCAGAGGTGGATTCACAAATAGAGCAAGACTCAACTGGATCTGACATGTTTGGAGAGTGACCTGGCTGTGCATCATGTATTCTATCAAAATTAAGATGAGCAATAGATTTATCAGAAAGGAAATTACAATTGAGCCCGAGTTGTTAGTTTATTTTTAGATGCATGTGCAGGTCCTTGGCTTTTATTTTCAGGTTCAAGCATTGAGCTCTGGGGAATAAGTAGCTGAAGGTATGAGAGGAAGCAAATTATCCACACTTTGTGGCTTCTAGTTTTTCAATCTGGCCAGCTCACAGAACCTTGAATTTAGCAATAGAGAGGCTCTGTACTGAGTTATTTTGCTGCTGCAAATTGATTCTGATGATTGATGTGTTTTTGGTACATTTCATTTGAAACTAAATTATGAAATTGCATACATATATGGACGCCATCAAAAGAGCCCAGTAATAGGTGATGAGAACACAAATGATGGCTCAGTTCTGCTGTATTTCATGAATATATTTGGAAGTAACTGGGTGCTGACACTTGTGAGAGGAGAGCTTTTTCAGCGCCAGATACCATCATCATCTACCTTCCATGAACTAAGACAGATTTAGAGTGTGGGGAAAATGTCTCCTGCAAATGCAATTATTTCCGTCTACACAGAATCACCCGTATACGTCACAGTAGAGTTATATATTATTTTACTCACTTTTGATTTTCAGAATATTATCTTCTCGATAAAACAAATGTGCTTCTTTTGTATTTTCTTCTCAATAACGATGGATTCTTTAATGAAAATTGTTTTGATTAAATGTATCAGGAGTAAATGTTTCATCTAGTCACACAATATTTTTACTAAGATCAACTGTAATCACAGCCTTATTATAGTTTGATATTTTGCAGAAAGGCTTCCAGGTACAGGTACACAGCTTGGGTGAATAAATATGTCATATGTTAGCTTTTGAGAAAATTAAAAATTTATTCACACCATCAGTTATTTATAATGTTAAGTCTTTAGTGGTTTTATCTTGAAATATGTTAGGTATGGTACAATAAAGGACAATTGCTTTTCACACAAAAAATAAATAAAAAATTGTATCTATTTGATAAAAAGGCTGAGTAGATCATTTAAAATTATATCTGCCTGTGCATACAACCAGATACAGTATAAGTAAAGCTGAGCTAAGGATTCTAACAAATTGAATTGTAAAGGCACACACTTTCACATTTGTCTCTGCATAGATGGTTACATTTGGTTGTGCTTTATTATATCATATATACACCACAGTGATGTGTCTCTGGCTTGTTTTCCTCAGGTTGTTATGTGACAGCATGTGCATTCAAATGTGAGTGTCTGCTACCAAATTGTTTCAGTGGTTCTCCACCAGTTGCATTTGGATCTTTGCCTAATGTCAGTGAAATATTCCACAGTAGGCAGTAAATCCATCTCCTAACAAATAAAACAAAATTTGTCAAAGGCAACATTTATTCTCATAGTTTTACAGATATACTCATCTAAATATACTAATCTTTATTTTAGCAGTTTTCCAGGATATTTTAGTCATTCCTCCGTTACACAAACTAAGAACAAGGCATTATTTCTTCCTGATACAGCCTTCTGTTGTTAAGAATGAACTGGATAACCCAAAAATTTAGCCAGAAAATGATAGTTACACTTAAAGGTTTGTTGTAAAGAATGTAATAATGTCAGGCAACACAGGCAGATGACAGCTGTGCAGGCGATGATTTCTGAACAGGGTGAGATAGTTAATCTAGCTGGTAGCAGTAACCAGAACAGGCACAACAGTCTAATGGACAAGGCAGAAATCAAAAGCCATAATAACCCAAGGCAGGGGTGGGCAATATGCCACTTCCTGAGGCTTGGTATCATCCAAAATTTAGATCTATCTATGATTTAGAAGAATTTGGAGAAATTAACTACATATTGAGGAGGTAATTTACATGTAGCCATCTGATTCCGGTGTGTTGGACCAAAGAAGGATCTATGGTTATAGAATACTGGCTGAAAGCCATTCAGGTGTCCGAAGAGAGGGCAACACAAACAGGGAATCCAAAAGAGACAGAAGAGTCAGACAAGAAATGGAACTGAATAGTAAACATGGCAAGGAGATGCTCTGTTGCTGACTGGGAGGGACAATTTGGCTAAAATGGGCAGGAGAACAGGTGCAGGAAAGAGCTCAATTGAGGTGGTGTTGGGAGCAGTTTGCATGTGCATGAGATGAGTGTGATAATGAAGCCATTCAGTCCAAATAGCAGGTTGCAAAACATATATTGATATATCGTAAAAATGAGAAAAGTTTTACAAAACAATATATCACCCCAAAGTTATCTTATTCTCATGTGACATTTTACTTTTTGCATTGTAGTCTAAAATAAGTTATATTTTTTTAACGACTAAATTCCTTATGTTATTTTGCTGCGCAAATATAAAACTAGCAATTTCTATTGTGCATGATTCTGATAATCCTTATAACTCTGAGAACCTTTCTATCAGGCATATCAATTATGAGCTGCACTGAGAATTGTGTATGATTTAAAAAAAAAAATCTCTGCAATATCTGTACATTTATGATGGTACAAAATAAAGCCACTCCAATCTGATTTGACTCTCCTCCAAAGCAACACAATTGCAGATGTTCATGATTTTAAATGAGCTCTAACACCTACAGAAGACTTTGAATTATTGAAGAGCCAAGAGATCCCAGGCAATCCTAGTGAATTAAAATTTTAAACCCCCGTTTAATCCAATGGTGTGTTCATTGAAGTCTAAAAGTGGTCATTTAGAAACCATAGAAAAGTAACCTTTTAGCAATATTCAATATTTAATGAGCAAAGTAAAGCCTTTATTTTGTCGACATTGTTCAGCAAATTTTCTTGAAGATGGCATGAAAAATGTATGAAAAAAAAACAAAATGGAAGCTTATTCCTTTCTGCTTTGATAACAACAATTAGATTTTTCGAAAGACTTTTTTCAATGATGCCGTTTTGTTTTTTCTCCAACCCTCTTACTAAATTTGTCTTTTGATCAAGCATATTATAAATTGATATTTATTTCACTTCTTTGCCCTTACAGTAAACCTCAGGAAAAAAGTGACATGATTTGAGCTTTGTTTTGTGTTCTAAATATGATATATAGTACCAGTTTATATTTTAAGCAAAGTTTTGAGAAGCTTGAAAAGCCTGAAATTGTTGTCTACATTTACCAAAGTAGAAATGTAAAGAAAAAACTCAATATTAAATAAAAAGATAATAATAATAACAGAAAACTTTGAGGATCTTCTAATCCCATTCGACATGCCTCCAATGGTGGAAGCAAAGATTGTGAGTTCATTACCCAGACTTGTCAAAAACTCCAGGATGGCTATAGGGTTTCTCAGGTCTCTTAGTCTGAATCCTAAACTGTACCCTAACCACTAACCCTTAACTATCAAGTGTCACTCGCAATAAAGTCACTCACAGCTTTGGAAGGCCCCTGGATTATACGTGGGAGTATAAAAGTCAATGGGAAGGCCTCTTCCTTTTAACTGAAAAGAGAAAGTCGTTCCTTTGGCAACAAAGTGACACCCTATGTGTGTGGCTGTTGCTCTGTGGCATACTGTAGGTTAGCATAGCATCAAACATAGTTTTTTCTTAAAGATAAATCTGTCCAGCCAAATAAAACTATTTCAAAGAGGACATTCCATTTAGGGATAAATGAAGTCTTTTTTTCTTTTTCCTACCTTGTGATTTTCTGTCACTGTGTTGAAGATACTGTAAACCAGCGGAACTTACATTTGAGTGGACGTGTATCTTCCAACAATAGCTAGCCCTTACACCCGCTGCTAAATTCCAGCGAGCCAGCACTGATGTAGTGAACTCAGTTAACTGACCGTTCAGACAGTTGATCACTACTTTTCGCTCTCCGTTGGTCACGTAACTCCACCTCCCCACACGGTGCCTGTGCCATCTTTGTTATTAGTCACTGGTACAGCAAGTCCCTTGATGCTTTGCGAGGAGAGCTCTTGCAAAGCAATCTGGGATATACACTATATTGCCAAAAGTATTTGCTCACCTGCCTTGACTCACATATGAGCTTAAGTGACATCCCGTTCCTAATCCATAGGGTTCAATATGACGTCGGTCCACCCTTTGCAGCTAGAACAGCTTCAACTCTTCTGGGAAGGCTGTCCACAAGGTTTAGGAGTGTGTTTATGGGAATTTTTGACCATTCTTCCAGAAGCGCATTTGTGAGGTCGCACACTGATGTTGGACGAGAAGGCCTGGCTCTCAGTCTCCGCTCTAATTCATCCCAAAGGTGTTCTATCGGGTTGAGGTCAGGACTCTGTGCAGGCCAGTCAAGTTCATCCACACCAGACTCTGTCATCCATGTCTTTATGGACCTTGCTTTGTGCACTGGTGCACAGTCATGTTGGAAGAGGAAGGGGCCAGCTCCAAACTGTTCCCACAAAGTTGGGAGCATGGAATTGTCCAAA